CCTCAGCCTCCCAAAGTGTTGGGATTACAGGCATGAGCCACCGTGCCCGGGTCCTTGTATTTTTTTGTAGATATGGGGCATCTCCCCTTTGTTGCCCAGGCTGATCTCCAACTCGGGCTCCCAAAGTGCTGGGATTATAGGCGTCAGCCACTGTGCCTGGTCAGGTGTGTAGCTGGGATTCTGGAAGGGTGTTTCAGCCTGTTGCCTGAAAGCATTTATGCTGCTGGAGCCCGTGGCTGCCTCTACCAGTCTCCAGGCATCACCATACCAAGAGGTTTATCTGGTGAAGAGGCCCAGCTCTAGTTTCTCAGCCAGGGCCCCACTTCTCCCTACATAGGTCAATTTGACGTTTTTGAAAAGACTGGGCTAGATGATGAGCTCCCCAGCCTGGCTCACCAAGGCTTGGTCCTGTCACCCAATAAAGGCTTTTTTGTTTGTTTGTTTGAGACGGAGTCTCCCTCTTACCAGGCTGGAGTGCAATGGAGCCATCTCGGCTCACTGCAACCTCCCCCTCCCAGGTTCAAGCGATTCTCCTGCCTCAGCCTCCCGAGTAGCTGGGACTACAGGTGCATGCCACCACACCCAGCTAATTTTTTTTTGTATTTGTAGTAGAGATGAGGTTTTACCACGTTAGCCAGGATGGTCTCAATCTCCTGACCTCATGATCCGCCCACCTCGGCCTCCCAAAATGCTGGGATTACAGATGTGAGTGAGCCACTGTGCCCAGCCCAAGGCCTTTTTTTTTTTTTTGAGACAGGGTCTGGCTCTGCCACACAGGCTGGAGTGCAGTAGCGCAATCTGAGCTCACTTTAACCTCTGCCTCCTGGGCTCAAGCCATCCTCTCACCTCAGCCTCCCGAGTAGCTAGTCATATGCAGCAGAGACTGAGGTTGTTTTTTTCAAAAAAAAACCCCTCGGTCTCTACGTGGGAAGAGAAATAACTACAGCCCTTGAACCTTCCCTTACTAATGATTCTTGTACATAACAGCCTCTTCTCAGGGATAGGCAAGACAGTAAAGCACTGTGTACTGACCAGTTCATTTAATCTTTACAGTAAATCTGGGAGGTGAGCTGGCTTTCACCAGTGAGGGTAATGGAGGACCTACGTCGCTCAGAAACTTGCCAAAAGCAAGCACAACGACCCACACCTATTGCCAAAATTAGAGGAAGCTACAACTTCTAGGGACTACTGGAGTTAAAACAGAATCCAGGCCCTGCCCGAACCCGCAGAAGAATCATTGATAAGTCAGTCACTCCTCTGTGTTTCATCAGTGAAACGTAGATAATCACACACACCCACAGAGGCCCATAAGAAAGGCTGATGAGAGACAGAAGAAAATCCAAGTGCCTTAAACATCTTGAAGGCCCCTTGTGCTCAACATCCAGTCCCCTGGATGCGGCTGGGGTTCGGAGTTAAAAAGCATTCACTAAGCACTTACTCTGGGACAAGAACATGCATTGCCTCATGAACTCTTCTCTAGAGCCCACAAAGCCAGTTATTGTGATAAAAAATATTTCACTTGACAGTTCTTTTCAGTAAAATAATAATGCACGTAAAGTGCTTAGCAGTGTCAGTACCTATTATCATTAGACCAAGAAAGACCTGCCTAGGGCAGAGGCACTAGTCTGGTATGGCTGACCAGGGACTCCAGCCTTACGAAACATACAGGCCATACACCTCCCCCATTTCATCGCCAGAGGGCAGCGGCAGGGACCGTCTTTCATACAAAGCCCGATGCAGTTTCCCTGGCGTCCATCGGAGGGCGAGCCAGCAGGGCAGCTGGATCTTGGGGCCAGACCCAGGCAGCGGCCCTTCTCTGACTGGTCCTTTCTTTGCCTTCAGTTTGATTGAGCCTCCCAGGGCCCTAACCAACCCAGGTAAGTCAGGCTGGAAGCAAATTAATAAATACAATTCCAGGTTTATTAAAAAGCAGGGCTCCCCTGCTGTGCCCTCCTGGCACTAAGGAAATAAATAACCAGAGGGGGCACAGCTAGGGAAAGGGGAAAAAAATCAGATCTCAAGACAGACTCTTTGTCCTACCCTTTCTCCATCCCCAACTCCCACCCCCCTATGGCTCTTGGGACATAGCACCTGAGCAGGCACCTCAGTCCGGGTATTGTGTTACCGGCACCAAGGCAAGTCTGCCCTACCCAAGAAGGGAGACAGGCCCTAGGGTCACTTGTTTCCAGCCCTTGATGACCCCAAGACCTGTTCCCCACAGGGGCCAGGGCTGAAGCACCAATTGGAGGCACCTGAGGGTGGTGGTTGGGGGAGGCAGAATGGGGTAACAGAACCTAGGCAGCAGAAGCAGCTGACGGGGGTCCGGCCCCCTCTCCAAGTTCAGCCAGTGCCTGACTGAGGTCATGCCCCATCGTCCTTTCCCCTCAAACCCTGCCTGCACTCAGCTGAGGATCTTCCGGGGCAGTTCAACAGCAGCACGGATGAAGACTGCATCATCCCGCACATAGTTTCGCTTTCGAATGTCCTGGTGAGAGATGAACTTGGGATAACCAAAGCCCAGAGAACTCTCATCCAGGGAGCCCCGCCACGTGCCCGGCTTCTGGAAATTCTTCCAGTTTGGGTCGGGGTGGAAGGTCTCAGTGACGTGCTGTGGTTTAGCCAGCCCAGGGTCGCTCTGATCCAGCAGGGAGAAGGTGACACGGCGGGCAAAGGGCCACTCAAGGAGATTGTCAAAGGCACCAGGCAGCACACGAATGTACAGTGAGAGGTGTGTGCCCTCGCCACTGCCATTGCCATTGAGGAATGCAGACACCTGCAGCTTGTAACCATACTTATGTGTGTAGAAGGCAGGGCTGAAGCACTCAAGGTTGGGCTTGGCCTTGGCCTCCTGTAGCCGCCGTCCATAGCTGCCAATCTTCCAGATGAGCACGCCATCACTGCCCACTGATAGCTCCTCCAGCTCTCGCCGAAGCTCCTGCAGCTCCTGCCGTTGCCGGCTTACCAGGGCACACATCATGGCCAGATGTGGCTTCACACTCTCCTCCACATGCCGTGCCATTGCCAGCTTAGGGCACTGTTGACAAAGCCCCAGGCCATGGGGGAAGGGAGGAGAGTTATCAGTAGGGGAAGGTCCAGAGAAGAGAGGAGAGGACAGTGGGTACAGGGTAGCAGGCACCCAGCTCTATGTGAGGAAGACAGAGGGTGTTAGGAAGAGGCTGGAGCTGGCCAGCAGAGGGAAGGACTGAGGGTTTCAGAGCAGCACAGCAGGGACCACCAAGGCCTAAGTGGCATCAGGAAGCTGAGCCTCTGTCCAGGGCTTCAAGAGCAAAAGGGGGCCGACAGGAGAAGGGGCGTCTCACCCTGTGCTTGCAGCCGGAGTCTTTGAATGGGCAGAGCACCAGGGCAGTGCTACAGCTGTCCTTCAGATGGCCTGGCAGGTCCTCCCGGGCCACAGTGCCCACACCACACTGGTTGGGGCAGGGAACAGGCAGCCTTGGGCACTGGTACTGGTGGCTCTGGGGCCACAGAGGCAGAGAGGCAGGAGTCAATATCCTGACTCCCTGTCACCTGCCCTGCAACCACAGCTCAGGAAGGGCCTCACCTGGATGGTGTCAAAGACGAACTCCTTGGTGCAGTAGGTGCAGGGCTGAGTGCGCTTGGGGCACTCAGAGGTGGCATGCTGGGCCAGCAGCCGCCGCATCATGCGGGCACCACACTTATTCTCACAGTAGACACTCTCTTGGGGGCACATACCCTCATGGCTCTGTGGAAATGTCAGAGGTGCTGAGTTAAGGGATGCCTAGGCCATCAGGTACCCCTCCTCCACATTCAGCCAGACCCCACCCACCTCATAGGCCTCCCCACTGAAGTCACAGCCACAAAACTCGCACTTGAGGCGCCGCTTGGGGCAGTCGTGCTGCAAGTGTGCAGGTAGATCACGGCGGCTCAGTTTCATGGGGCAGCGATTAGGGCAGGGAACGACGTTGAAGCTGCAGGTATTCAGGTGGCCCTGGTGGGAAGGGTTGCAATGAGTGCCTGCCAAGAGCGAGGTGGTGCCAGCCCCTCACATCAGAGCCTCACCTGTAGATGGCGTAGTGGCCCATTCCAGCGGCAGCCCTCCTCACTGTGGATGCAGCGGATAGGCAGGCCCAATACTTGTACTTCCAGCTCGGGGTCTGGGTAGATCTGGGGGTGAGGATAGGGGAACCGGCCAGGATCAGAGCTGACTGCAGTGCCCAGTTCCCACCTCCAGCCCCAACTGGGCTGGCTCTACCTTGGAGCCTGTAATAGCCTCTTTCGGGCTCTTTGCCCCTCGAAGTCCAGGAATGAAGGGTACAGCAGGCAGCGTCTGCTCTGATGCTGGGTCCTAACATGCCTGCACAGGACGCTTCCTTTGAAGGGGCAGCCAATCAGCCTGCTCAATCCCAGGCTGTCCCTGGGGCTCTGCTTCCTTCTCCCTGGTGGTGGGATACTGGCCCTCAGCCACAGGTCTGGCTCGCCACCGGAAGGGGAGGGAGCACTTCTTGCGGGCACAGAGCAGCTCTGTGCACCCCTACAGGCTGGGCATTGTGCCTGTCCTCCAGGGCAAACACGGGCCTCGTTTGCAAACTGGCCTGGTGGGAGGGAACAGGCTACCTTTGTGGGGGCGCACCATCCCAAGGCTTTTGGTTGACACTGGCCCTGAGCCCACTGGCTGCCAGCAGCTCTGGCCTCCAAGGGCAACAGACTGTGCTTGGACTTCTTCCTGGCAGTGTGGACTCACCTTGGCATAGTCCAGAGGAAGCTGGTCCTCAGGGCACTTGAAGACGCCTTCACTGAAATGGGGGAGGGGCAGGGTCAAGGCTTCTCATTAGAGGAAAGGGAGGCCTGGCCCCACCCCCTCCACCAAGGCAGCCTCCCTTCCTCACCAGACCGGTTCCCAACCAGCCCAGGTGAGACAAAAGGGCAAGCAGAGGCCTGAGGGGTCTACTTCCCCAGGATCCCAAAAGACCCCAGCCCCTGTCCTGGGAAGGGGGATCTGGGCCTAGAGGAGGCAGTGACAGCTGCCTCAGTCAGGACTTGGCCAACAGGTGGCAGCTGGCACCCCCTCCCCCAGGATGGCAGCTGGACTGGGGAAGGAATACGCTGCACAGTTACCCCCTCCCCCTAGGTTAGTTTTCACTGGCTGGGTTGAAAGCTGATTGGGAGGGGGAACAGGGATGGGCTGAGATTAAGTGCCAGGGCTGCCCAGTCCCCAGGAAGGTCCTCTGCCAAGAACCAGGGCAAAGGTCAGCTTGCGGCCACCTTACCCTGCCTGCTCTGCTCCTTTGAGGGTGTGTCTCCCACAGAAAAGAGGAGGAAAGGCATGCTCCCTGGCACCTGTTTACACTCCCACCCGGCCCTTGCCACCTGCCTCTGAAAAGGGGTGGAATGCCCCCATTTTACAGATGAAACAAATAGACTTACAGGTGAAGCAGTACCTGGCTATGTGTGTCTGACTCCACAGCTCAGACAGGCTCTACTACACCACACACACGAGGAAAAGAAGCTGGGGCAAGGGAAAATGTCCAGCAAGCAAAGCTATGACTCTGGGCACTGCTCAGTGGGCTTCTGAAGCCTCGTGACCGTCCCCTCCTGCTAGCTGCCCGCCTTCTCCTGCACCAAACCCCACCTGGCTGTCAGCACCCAAGGAGCCTGTTCGCATGCTTCTGTCGACACGCCCTTGCTGACCCCAGCCAGGGCCAGTCACACATGCCTGGCATGGCTCAGGGAGAGCTAGAGCTCACCCAGCAGGACTCAGGGCCCTGGGGCAGGGCATTCCTGGCAGGTCTGAGTCAGGTAGGTGGAAGGCAGGCAGGGAGCAAGGCAGAACCACAGCCCACATAAAAGCCCAGTTCTAGAGGCACTCTCCAGGACCTGGGCAGTCCATGCCCCAACTGCCCCAAGGATTTCTAGCACCCACCTCCTCCCCTTGACCTCACTACCAATGGCCATACTTCAATGCCAAGGACAATACAAGAGCAGGCACTGAAGGGGTGTGTCTGCCCACAGGGCAACCAGCCTTCCTGGACCAACCTAACAGCTCAGGCAGGAGTGGGGAAAGAGGGGTGGGTCCAGGGGGAGGGGGTCCACTTGGCTGCTTCAGGAATGTGCTGACTTAGTGGTTTAGGAGAAAGGGAGGGGATGGAGGCAAGTCCCTAGGCTTCAGACAGAAGCTTAGCCTGCAGCTTGGGGCCCAGCCAGGGCTGTGGACACCCTCACTTGTGCTTGTACCATGGCGAGTGAGGAGCACCTCTCTCCTCTTCAGAAGCCTCAGTAGCACAGCTCAGGCGCTGGGGGTTGGGCGAGAGGCAGGGCAGAGGCTGCTCCAGGCTGTGCAGTGGAGGCCCAGGCTCCGGGAAGAAGACAGGATGGGGGGAGGGGGTGTGGGAGTGGGAGAGGAAGAGGGGATTTCCGTGAGGGGGAGGGGCAGAGGGGGGCCAAGAAGGTGGTGGAAGGAATCGGGCCTGACAGCCCCCTCCCCCGCTCCTTCCCCGCGGCAGTCAGGGTGGGTCTGCTGTGGAGGGGCTGGGAGGGCTCAGCTGGCCTCATCTGGAACCCAGAGGGCCGGGGAAGAGCAGTGGCGGAGACAATGGGGCTGTGTCTGTAGGAGAGTAAATGTGTACACTGCCGGGGGGGAGGGGGTAGTCCTGCAGCTTGTGCGGGAGCATATGTGAGGGCAGGAGCCGGCCCAGGCTGTGGGGAACAGAAAACAAAGGGCCTGCTGAGACTTCCGCCAGTAGGAGCTACGGAGGACCGAGCGAGGGAGGGAGGCACGGACGGAGGGAGCACCGGGGGCACGCGCCCCAGAGATACTCTCCCTGCCGGGCCCTCGATCCCCTCGGCCCAGCAAACAGCCAGGCAGTGGCCGACCCGGCCTTCCCCTGCTCTGGGGCCATGACCTCCGAAGAGTCGGGGCTCCTTCACCCTGCCTCCCACACCCGGGCCTGAGTGGTCCCCTGCGTGGGCAGGAGAGATTCAAGACACCACAGGGCGCCCAGAAACTTGACGGATTCCCAAGAGCCAACGGCTAACCTGCGTCCTGAGGGGACAGTGGAAGTGCAGTAACGATACGAGTGCGTCCCCCTTCTTCACGAGTTACGGACCACCCGCCTTGCTCCAGCCCCCGGGAGAGAGAGGGGAGCTGCCTAGAGGGTCCTTCGGGGGAAGATTCAGTCCTTCCTCCATTGTGTGATCATAAGCAGCCCGGGGTTAAATCCTAGTTAAGCCTTTAAGTAACTGTGTGACCCTGGGCAAGTCGCAGTCTTTCTTTGAATCTCGTCTCATCATCTGTGAAATGGGAGAACAATAGCTACCGTTCCCTGAACGTTCGAAGAATCACAAGAGGTTAGATGGGTGAAATCTCCGGAGACTCAAAGTGCTGCGGCGGGAGCGGGTTTTGTCCTCTTCCCCCAGGATTCAAAGTTCAAGG